GTATATTTTGTACCATAATGTTTTGCATTTTTATCGATAAGGCGGTTGGAAAATGGGAAATCATACAAAAGAAACCAGAAGCAAAAACTATACATAGAACTGCCAAAGAAATTTTACTTGTTTACATATTTAAGCGTCATCATAAAAAAAATTAATAAAATATTACTTTATAAATAATTATTTACCATTAAACTACTGTAAACAAATAAAATATACATAATATATATATATATATATATATATATATATATATATATATAATCTTGGATTTGTGCGTATAGTAAACCAGAGTGCTCAAAACAAGTAAATAGTAGAGCAAAAACACAAACAAATCAACAAAATATAATCATAAAATTGTTATCGCCTGAGGATCGTACTAAAACTAGTACGATCCTCAGGCAATCCTGATCCTGAGGATCGTACTAAAACTAGTACGTGAAACACAGTGTAGCGATGAAATACAATTTTATGATTATATTTTGTTGATTTGCTTATATATATATATATATATATATATATATATATATATATATATATAATTTAAAATCTTAAAATTACAATGATTTTTCGCTACTCAGAGTTTCACGATCTTTAACGATCGCGATCATCAGGCGATTATGTCCGTTTAATTCTCTTGCTTGATTTCGTGATTTTCAATTGATCTTGTTGCACGCGCGCACGATGAAATTTTCCAGCTTTGTACCGGTCATTGTGGGGACATTTCTTGAACAGCTCTAATCGCTGATTTAACAAGTTTTTATGGTTTGATTTCATAATACAAAGATTCTCTTCAATACAAAGATTACAACGTGAGTTACCGGGAGCATAGGGTGTTGATTGATTAAGAATTGACCAGTGGATGGAAAAATCTTTTTCCTTAAACTTAAGTTGCCATATATATTTAGACAGTTCAGTTTCCTTTTCATATTGAATTAAATTAAACGATTTCTTATGGTTTCTATATCTTTCCTTAAACGAATTTGCTGTCATACCAACATATATCTTCTTCACACTGTCATCCAGAGAAGTTACAATTGCTTTGTAAACGACACTTTTCGATTGACATTTGTTGTCTAGAGAGCATTTATCCCGATTTCTACAATTACACGTTGGGGTTGTCTGAGGATCCTTTTTCCTTAATACTTTCCGATTATGCTGCGAAATTACATTCTTTACATTTGGCATACAACTATAACTGACTTTTATCGTGCTTCTGTTAAATATCTTGTGAAGCGGGTTTGTGGGAGGAAAATGTTTGTCGATAAGTTGAAGAAATCTGCCTCCAACGTTTGCCCTAACCGATTTACTATACGGGGGGTTAAACCATATAATATTTCTATGCCTCTTTTGCTTTCGCGTTGCCGATACGTTGCAGAAGCACGATAAAAGTCAGTTATAGTTGTATGCCAAATGTAAAGAATGTAATTTCGCAGCATAATCGGAAAGTATTAAGGAAAAAGGATCCTCAGACAACCCCAACGTGTAATTGTAGAAATCGGGATAAATGCTCTCTAGACAACAAATGTCAATCGAAAAGTGTCGTTTACAAAGCAATGGTAACTTCTCTGGATGACAGTGTGAAGAAGATATATGTTGGTATGACAGCAAATTCGTTTAAGGAAAGATATAGAAACCATAAGAAGTCGTTTAATTTAATTCAATATGAAAAGGAAACTGAACTGTCTAAATATATATGGCAACTTAAGTTTAAGGAAAAAGATTTTTCCATCCACTGGTCAATTCTTAATCAATCAACACCCTATGCTCCCGGTAACTCACGTTGTAATCTTTGTATTGAAGAGAATCTTTGTATTATGAAATCAAACCATAAAAACTTGTTAAATAAGCGATCAGAGCTGTTCAAGAAATTTCCCCACAATGACCGGTACAAAGCTGGAAAATTTCATCGTGCGCGCGTGCAACATGGTCAATTGAAAATCACGAAATCAAGCAAGAGAATTAAACGGACATAATCGCCTGATGATCGACTGAGATGATTGCATCTCAACGCAATGAAATATTTATCACCTTTAGGGGTCGCGCGTTGCTCCCAGTATGCATTATTTTTCCTGAAACTTTGACAGTTTATAAAAAAGCTTTCCTACTTTTAGACAGCTAAATAATATCTCAATTTCAGCTTCACATTTTCGCGCGCAAGCCCTCTCAATATCAGTGGAAAGGAACCACCCCCCCCCCCCGGTAACATAATTTTGTTAATGAAAAACCAAACTTGGCCTAGGTATACCAGATAAGTCTTAACTATCTCTAGGAACACAAAAATTTGCCAAATTCTGCAAAATATCTATATATAATAACATATATATATATATAATAACAACTCGAAATTTACATAGCGGGACAAAATGGTCAGGCTGGCTACGCCACTGATAGTTTTCGTTTCATTTTATCGTATATTCGCTACTGGAAGTATTCAAGACAATCTTATATTTCAAAATCGATGTCGTGACAAGTGAATCCAGCGTGAAAGAGACATAATTGAGAAAAAAACAACCCCAAACCAATTAACCAGGTATTTTAAATACAAAACGAGCCCGTATCGCAACTAAATATACTAACCATTGTTTTGAAAAATAAACCCGTGGCCAGAGTGATAAAAGAAACATACACAAGCTATTGCAAGCACACAAGGAAACAAAAATAAAAAAATGTTCACACAGGCAAACATCGATGGTAGACATATTGTACCCGGTCGCAGCAATAAAAACCGGCCATGCAATTGTTAAAGAACTTGTATCAGAAAGGTCTTTAAAACATAATTTTACAACAACAATAAGTAATTTCATTTTAGACAAAAAACCCCCCCGGCAAATTTGAAAACAAAGAAAACAAAGGCTTATTAGACAGACTGCGAAATCTAAAACACATTATTTTCCCTGAAAACGAGGAGTTTGGAAAGAAAATCGATGAACTTACTCAAGAGGTCGAAAAGATCCTGAGAGAGAAAGATGCTGACATTTCAAAGAAACAGTCACGAATCACTGAATTGGAACATCGTGTATCAATATTGGAAAATGAGATAGAAAAGTTGAAAAAACGTGGAGAAAGCATGGATATAGTTGACGCTGGAGAAGCAATAAAAATTCTGGCCACCCATGTAGCTGCTCTTGTTTTACCATCGGGGGATGCAATTTCGGAGGTTGGCGCATTTACTCAGATGTTTGAATACGTAGAAAAGCACAGGAAAAACAATATTTGGATTCTTTTACAACACGTATGTGGGATGAAGTGGATAAACATGATGAAGCCAAAACTGAATTAAGAAGCTTCAGAAACAGCGAGGCTCACGGTAAAAGATTTAACCTTGCAAATGTTCAACAAACTTTGGGTGATAAGATGCCACATCGAAAACAACAATGTCACGATTTTGTGAATCTCTTGGAATTAACTGACAGCATCTTAAAATTGGGAATGGTAGTAAAGGAGCTTATTGGCCAGTCTGACATTTCGAAAGCAGACAAAAATTCACTACGTGAAATTGAAATGATTTGCTATCGTGATGTTAAGCATTTGCAGGATGTCAACTTGGAGAAAACAAAGGACCAAGTCCACAGCTACTTGAAAGCTCTGAAAATTCTTCCTCCATTCGATATCATACATGCAATTAAAAGCAAAAATGGTCCTCGACTTGGCAAACGAGTGACAGAAACAGAAAAAGAAATTGTCTGTAGGATTTTTGACGATCCAGCCACATTAACATTTGAAGGAATGAATAGAAAGCTGGAAAACAACGAACGGATCAGATCAAACAGAAAAAAAAGCATTCAGTGGAGTGATTTGACGGACGGTAAAAAGTGGTCAGAAGAGCACAGTGAAGCAATGATTTGTTTGAAGAAATTGTGGGAAAATGACGACAGTGACGAGAACGTTGATCCTTTACCACTCAATATTGCCCAGCTGCACATAGCAGACTTTCTTCGCGAGGAATTATGGAATGCCGGTTCTGATATTATAAACATTTTTCAAAGATGGGATGCACGTTAAAAGGTTTGCATGAACGCTTGCATTTCACTATAAATTTTAGCCTCTGGATGTAGAGGGTGTATAAGAAATGAAACAATGATTGACTTCAGCTAAATTTGGGACGGTTGACAAATAACACTTATAATCGTTTCACCGTACAGTTCAGGAATAATAAGTATGAGTGCACGAAGTTTGGAACAGTTAGTGCGCATAATCCCCCAAACGCTCCTAAAATTAGACGCACCTTTTGATTTGTAGGCTATTTAAGCCTATTTTGTAACTATTAATTGGAGCAACACAACACTTATTTAGTAAAGGTTAACAACATTCAGTTAACAGTTTAGTTACATATACAAAATATAACATATTTGCATTTCAATATATTAGACTTGGTGACTGTACGCCTTACTGTAACGAGATTTTTGATGTTTTGCATATAATTTATAGCGATATTGCTGCAATATAAATATTTGATTGAGGTTTCACAAAACCATACATATTTTTACCATGTACATGCACCAATGAATGAATGTTAATTCATTTAATTCATTTTCAAAAACTTGATAAATCAACGGATGAATAAATAGTTAATTATAGTATAGGGGCATGGAGTAAACAAGATATTGAAACGCCAATAACATGTGTGATTTATTTTAGGACTGGAGCGAGCGAGGGAAGGCGCGAAATGTTTTCAAATCAAAATTTTAATTCGAAACAAGAGAGACAGAATAAATGTGTTATGTGCCGAAATTATGGAGGCAATCATTCGTATATTTTTTAATACTGTTACACTATTTTTTTTCGTTTGTATAACATGATTCAAGGCATTTTTTGCAATGATAACAACGGAATTTTCGACATCGAAGGCAAACATCGAGTAAACTTTGAGTTAGGTACTAGATATTGTTAATAAATTATACCCTTCCATGATATAGTGTATCCGGGCTGAGAATCCTCCCAGTGATGGGATTGTTAGAATTTGGAATAGTTCACCGTAAAAAATATATCTTCGCACATACCTCAATAATACTGTGACTGTATCTTTCTCCTCGTTCCCAACTCCCTAGAACTGGACCTCGCGTCTCCAAAAAACTAAATCCCGTACAAGCTTCTGTGCCAAGGATAAAATATTCTGGATGACTATAAAATATATAACGGTAAAGAATATATGAGTTGAGACCAAGTTTACTTTAAGATCGCAGTTTAACATTCTTTTCAGTCCGAATATATTCATGGATCAGAAAAAAATTAAAAATTAAAATGTCACTATACTAAAATATAGTATATGAAATGAGAAAATAATCGTACTATAGGCCAATATGATAACGATACTCCAACATGAAATATGATATATTAATCAGTCGCATACGACACTTCATGGTTTCCATATGATAACCAATTGTAATAGATGATGTTCCAATATGAAACACTCGTTATTTGTATATTATATCCAAATGTGATATATGATATATAGGATATTACATGGTGTAATGTTGTTCTAAACAAGGACTAAATTCAGAGTGACAAAAATTCACACAAAGACGACAAGTAAATAAGCCGCGAAAGACCATTATAAAAGCGAATATTTTTTAAATTATGGCCTAAAAATTAAAGTAGAATAAATTTTACTTATCTAAAGATGTCTTTTAAGTGTTTTAATTTGTATTTCCAACGTTTATTTTCACAACAACAGCAATAAAAATGCCGGGAAATTTTCGAAACTCATTATGTCACTCCTAAACGTGATATACGGAAATATCCGCACTGTACCCCGGATGTAGTGGCGTATGAGTTCTACGAGTGTTTTAGTCCTCAGTGAAATACCCCATCCATATAATAAATCCAAATATGACATTCCATAATTCATTCCACTCACGCAGTCATCAAATTACCTGTTATGAAGATCGCTCAGAAATGACGCTGGTAGAATAAAGTCCTCATACCAATGTACAGCAACTCCAGATACATACTTTGCAGCATCCTTATCTCTCAGGACTTTATCTGTAAATCCAGGCAGAGTTATTCTGTTATCATCGAATATCATCAACTTTACATCACTGTATCCGGCCTGCTCCAAAGCTGGTCCCAGATCACTTTTCACAAAATCTCTCTCCGTCGCACCATCGAAACCCATACATTGAAATTTATACCTGAAAACAAAAACAAGTTTGAAAATCAACTTATTTTCAGATTCTACAGGGAGTTGGAAATAAGCCTTTTCATATCGTCTTTTCTTACATTATTTTTCATTTTTACAGGATTTTTGAACGTCCCAAGTCCGTTTTAAATTGTATTTATAGGATCTTAAAATATCATGAAAAAAATCATTTTGACTGACAAGTAAAGTAAGAAAAACTGAAAGTGGTCTTTATAGCTGGAATGTGTCCACTCGTGGGAAGAACTGATACGTTTCCTGGAGGGTCGATCAGGGTGAAGGTAAGAGTAACATGGCAACAGGGAGATAGAGTCATTTTGGAATTTAGAAATGGAGCTCAACCCCCCACATGACCTCGACCGCTGATAAAGCGAGTCAAGACAGTTGAAAGTAAAACTACTGAAAGCGATCTTTTGACTGTTTGACACATTTCAGGTCGGCTATTACAGCTCTGGTGTGACGTTTGCTGTTTGACCTTCGACATGGTCACAATAAAGTTGGAGAAGGATAAATATTCTAAACTCGTCCATACAAAAAATGTTCCATTAGTTTTTAGTAAAAAATAGTTTTAATTTCACCCTAAAACGGCAGCTCATACCATAAAGAACCAGCATGCACAATCAAGGGTGACCACCCGATCAGTTGCCTTTACCTCACCTTCACATACTAAATTAACCCCTTACCCATTTCCCCACAGCCTTGCCACTTACCCTGGTACATAACCCGCAATGGGTTCATTTTCCACAGTAACCCCCCACAGCTCCACTCCCTCCTTTTTATACGCATCGAGAAACTTAACAAAATATGCCGCCCACGTTTTATGATAATTATTGCCCGCCACTCCAATCAACTCCCCACCGACAGTGCTGTTGCTGGTTTTCATCCAAGCCGGAGCAGACCACGGGCTGCCGAACAATTTCACCTCCTTTTTACTTCGACTAAGCGCGGTTTTAATGACGGGAATTTTGTAGACCAGATCTTCAGAGGCCAACTTGAAGCGGGAAAGGTTAAAGTCCACTGGGACATCGTCGTACGTGTAAATTCTTGTCGAGAAATCGCAACTTGCCATGGGTATGCGACCAGTGCTGTACTCGATACCCGTGGGAGAGTAGTACGAGTTGATTAAATGATCTTGTAGAATATTGCTCAGGTTTTTGATGTTTATGGTTGCAGCATCTACGAAGAAAAATTAGTCTGAGATAATAAAAAGAATCACACCAAAAACGGTCACATTAGTATTATTATTATTTTTAACCAAATATTAGTTCGGTACAAAATTTGGTTGGTGATTTGCAACGGAAAATTCAAAATTAAAATACAATTGAAAAGCAACTTAGGCACACTAACACAATCTCAACAAATTCCAACCACAACTCGAAAAGATATATTTTTTTTAAATACATACATTTTTTATATAACAGCAGTACACACTAACAGTAGTTATTCTGAAATTAAAATCATTGTACAATTGCACTTCTATAGTTCCATTCAATTATTTTCCAAACCATATTTCAGTTTCCTGCATTTTTAATTGCATTCGCAAAAAAATTTATTGAATTATAAAAAAGGAGATCAGATAGTTTTCTCTAGCACGAAATGCAGACTGAATTTAAATTTCGCGGGATTTTTCCACCCCTTTTTATGTTACAGCTCTTAGCCAATGAGATTACAGAATATGTAATTCGTTTGACACACTTCGCTCCATATTAGGACATAAGCTATCTTGTTACTTCATACTTGTAAACAAGAAAATGATTGCTATCGTGCGACTCGCGTACCTGCCACAATATATGTTGTTATAACTCGACGAGTTTTTAATTTTGTTCCTTTAAACTTTTCGAAACGACAGAGTGAATACAAAGCTTTAATACTATCAAAATAAATTATTTGGCGGGCATTTCATCTGCTCAAATTTGCTTGGCAGTTTGACTTGCGTGTCACTATTATTAAATACACACCCCTCTAATTCTGTATAGTCTGTATTTAGTTTTATACCTGTAAATGCGCCGCCAAAACCGATTATTTCTTGATATTTCTGACTTTCGTCGACTTGAAACAGAATGCTGTCATCGTTCTCGCCAGAATGTGGCGAAGTTTGACCAATATTCAGCTCAAATCTCGCGCCGTCTTTAGACGATGTATAGACAGCAAAATTATCATCTGTCAATGGCTTCGCTTCCTGGTTATCAAATCCATCACAATAACTCTCCGTGCAAATACACACGAAGGAATCCGAACTGAAAGCTTGCCTCTTACATTGTGTATAGTTGGAGACTTGTAGACAAAAAACTGAACCGGCGAGAAACAAAATAAGAAGGGATACAACTGTTGTTTGCTTCGAAGACCTCATCATTATTGCACACAGCTCATGTGATTATGGCCAACAATGTTGCGCAATTCGTCCGAGTACTGAGAAAGTATACCCTTTAATAGCTCCGATATTTCAACGCCTTATTTGCATTGCAGAACCAACCCAACGGGTACCTAAAAAGTGTACCTGTCTTGATGAATAGAATTAAAATACCATAGATATAATTTCGACATTTTGTCAATCGCTCAACTCGCTTATAGCCACTGATCCCCTCAAACTTTTTTATCATCAACAAAATACAAGCCGTATATAAATCTGTGTGAATTTCGAATTCCTAAACAGAAAATATAATGGCCCGTTTCATATAACTTGTACTCGCCCAAATGAGTTTAGATTAGTGTACAGGGTGTCTCAAAAAAACGCAACCACTTAGATATGCAAGAACATTAATAGAGCTCTGAAGCGCAATAGATAAGCACCTCTGGGAACAATTGGCTCCTAATCCTTCATTTAAAGGACATTGGCAACGAAAATTTTTATTCGCTATTTTTAAAGTGTTCAACCGTCTAATTATGGATATGGTGTTAATTTGTTCCAAAAATGTTTCGTTTATGAGTTATTTTCACCACAATTCAGCCAAAATTTGGACCTCGTCCGCCATATTGGATCAATTTTTGAAAAAATTATATTTGGCGGAAGTGACGTCATTTGATGGGTTCCCTAAACACATCAATATATTTTACTAGCGTGTTTACTGTGTTTATCGAGATTTTTTGCTTTAAAAAGGGAGTTGTAGTTTTTTTTATGATTGTCATGGAACATATTAACGAAAACCATGCAGTTAGAGGAAGTGTTCCCCTACCAATATGAGCCAGGGGCGCAGGGAAAATCTTGTGATATATCTAACGATAGCGATGCCGAAAACGGTAGTGATTCATCTTCCTCTGACGAAGATTTGATCGCGAGTTCAAAAGAGCGAATGCCGGGTGCCTTGAAAAACTTACTTGGTGTAAATGTGGACATTGCGCATTATTAAAAAGCATTATTAAAAAGCACTAGAGTACGACGAATACGAACATTTTGCAAACTCGCGCTTTGTCGTGTGGTCACTCAAATAATATTTTGTCGTGTCATATGACATGTTCATTTGATTTCTCTCACATGATACGGCAATTCCTCTAAAAGGAACAAATAAACCGTGCGTTTGATGCTGTTCGATTAAGTTTCAATTTAATTGGGGAAAGAATATATTAAATACATGTAGATTCTGGTCCTATTTTAATATTATCGCTGCTATTTCGCCGTTTAACAAGATATGATCACTTATGGTTGCGTTGACAAGTCGCACTTAATTTGCACAGGATTGAAGATTTAATATATAAAGCACGAATTCCAAAGTGTAAGACAAAGTGAACGTATCATGCGGTTTATTTACATTTTTGAACAATTAAACTTCTATACTTTTTAAAGTACAATGAGCTTCTGAATTTCGCGATCGAACAACATTTAGGTTTGCAAGGCATCTAAATGAATATGAACTGTATAAAATGCACCGCATATAATGTCAATCGCACGGCATATAAAGAGAAATGCACCGCGTATAATGTCAAAAGGACAACATATAAAGAAAAATGCACCGCATGTAATGTCAAAAGGACAGCATATAGAGACAAAAGCATCGCATATGATGAGTATATACCACGTAAGACAGCTATGGCATTCCATAGTATTGTTTATGTTCAGAGCCTTTATATTAAAGACTAGCACGTGCGCGGCACGCCGGAGTTAACGCCAGAAAAGGCGTCTTGTTTATGCTAAAGTATAGTAAAATTGTAAGTAGGGGAAAATATGCGCGCCTTAGCTTTAGTATAAATCTAAATATAAGTAGAATTCTAAACTTTGGGACATTGGTTATTAGTTGTGTTGTGTTGCCACCGTAACGTCCTGTTGTGTATCGACGTGCACTGCATGTGTAAATATGTGTGTACATAGTTCATATTCAATGTTCTCTTCCAAATATTTTGAAAAACATGTCCCGCAATGTTGATGCATTAATTTTGCAAAGGTATTTGATTCTGTCTCCCCTCTATACTCTATTTTACCAAGTTTTTCAAGTTGCCATATGAGAATACAACAATAGTTTATATAATCGTATTTCCCGAACCCATCAAATGACGTCACAAATGTATGCTAGCATAAATTAGCATAAGGCTCGATTTTCAAAATGGCGGACCACCGATGAACATTTTTGGAAATTTTCTCAAGAACCAAATACGATAGACACACAAAAACATTAAATTAAGTATTTCCTAGATGATTTCAACAGATTTGGCAAATAAAAATTTTCGTTGCCAATGTCCTTTAAAATGCTAAAAGTCACTTTAGCTGAACTATGGTGCAAACCCGAACAATATTAATATACTTGCATACGTAAGTGGTTTTTTTGAGACACCCTGTAGTATAAATAGGGCCAATATTTTAACATGACACTGAATAATCATCAATGCATGGCCGATTCTTTTCAGTCAGTGGCGATTCACAAATTCAAGTAAATTACTGTATTTTTGTCGACCAAAGTTCGGTGTATACAAACAGGTAAAAATTAAAGGCTATTAAATATAGCACACAAAAAACGACTACAATAAAGTAAAGCCAATTAAAGCAACTGGCTTAAGTTTAAAAAAGCAAGCCTTGCAATTAAAGATGGCAAGATTTACAATGAGCTTGTTGTTAGTTTCCACCGAAGTAGAGGATGGCCCGTCTGATTGGCCAATCTTTTATTTAGCCGTTGTCTAAAGTCTTGAAATTCGTTCAACTCATTTTTAAGGCGATGATTTGATATGTTGTGGGCTCGTTAATCGTCACCGTTCCATCTTGATTGCCAAATCTTTGCAAGAATCCATCAACTTTACTTTCTTGCAACTCACTTTCAAAAATATAATACGTTGCACGGAGCCAGGCAAGAAAATGGGCCAAATTTTCAAATTTGTAACTTCCTGATTTGTAGTGGCTGGAAACTACGACGAAACCAGCCTGTTTCAACATAACTTCGACTTCGGATTTTTTCACAAAATATTCTGGGACAGGCAGCTTTTCGATTCCTTCAACGAGAAAGTCCTCAAGTGCAGTTGATAGAATTTCGCTCTGTTCTTCGACGCTCTGAATAGCGATTCTTCCTCCAGGCTTGAGAACTCTGAACGCTGTTTCGATAAAAATTTCTTTATCTTTTGGATGCAACCAATGAAAGACGAAATTACTGAAGTGTATGTCATAATACGCTTTGTTATGATGAGGAAATTGGCTGGAGCTTTGGCCATGTATCAACCTGAGGTTTTCCCGGCAGTTTTTATTCATGGCAATATTTATTCTATCTAATAAAGGATCCACTCCAACAATCTCGCTATTAGCACCAAGCATGTCTGCAATACATGCGGTTAGTTCACCCGTTCCACAGCCCATGTCTAACAGCTTCAGGCAATCGCCACGTTTTGTATTTAAACTTGAAAATAATTCTTTTCCAAATCTTATTTGCTGGTCGTTAAATTGAGCGTATTCCTTCGCGAGTACAAATTGCTTCGGGTCTAAAGTCAGGGCCATCAGCGCAGGTCTCTTTGCCTTCGATTGATTTTTTACAGACGTATTTATCTCAAAATAAAAACCGATTTGATAAGTAACAAAGATCTTTATTCTCCAGTGACCATTGACAATAACTATCGTCGACTGTCGGTCACTAATGAGAATCAAGCCTCATTGGAACAGACTGAGGTGGACGAATTCAAAGGTCCTGTAAAGGCCGGCCGCATTGCATGCTGGTGCAAGTGAAAGAATGTATAAGAGCTACCACAATGCAACGCACATAGCAAAAACGAGATTATCCCGGTCTAATGAATAGATTAGGTTACTGTGGGTATAAAGGCTGCCTGTATGAAAGCATGTCAAGGTTCGGATTGCTATTCTCGTTCCAAGCCCCGTTTACACTATACTCGATTTATTAGCACGGCACGGCTAAAATGGGTACCCGTGCCCATTTCATCCAAGCCCGGCCTTTGTTTTGGTAGCCTGACCACTAGTGAAATTGGGCACGGGTACCCATTTTAGCCGTGCCGTGCCGATAAATTGACTGTAGTGTAAACGGGGCTCCAAGCAAGATAGCAAGGAATTGGATCTCTACAAGGCTGTTTAGAGTATTCTCTACGAATAGTCCTGTACGAAGGCTGTTTAGCTTAGCTTAGTTCATAGTTGAATGTTTATATCATAAATTTTCACTCCTGATGTATAAATTAGGAGTGCTGCCTTGCTCGCTCGCTGCGGCAGCAAATATATGGCACATATCTCGAAATGAATGAAGTTTAACCTTGAGCTGAGATGCAAAAAAAGTTCAACCTTCCTCCGGTAGGATTTCAAGTTTTGAAAACCTTCCTCAAAATGAAGTTACGTCACCGAGTCAAGTGGCAACCAGCATAAAGAAATATTTGTTTTTTTGGTACATGCATGTGATCAATTAGATTGTTCAAATTTGAACCTTCCTCACAAACCTCATTCAAAGCAAACCTTCCTCCGGGTGGTACCCGCGTACCCCCGCAGCTTTTTTGCAACTCCGACCTTGAGGCAGCTCGAATTCGAAATCCGTTTAGCGGTTCTCGCCACAACAATGTCCGGTGTAAAAATTGCCCGGCCAAATTTCGCATATTTCGAAAATTTCTGATAATATACTCTAGATCATATTCATCCACAAGCGTAGCGAATGTAAATACAGTAAATATAGTGTTGAATATGCGGACAGCGCATCGTTTTTATTGAGTATTGTAGTTCAAAGCGTAACCGCGTTTGCTTTTAATCTACAACTATAACATTATTTATTAGAATCGAATTCATTAAATTTCTAAACACATTTAATACGCCGAACGCTAATATTCAAAAAAATTTTCGTGTAACAACATTATAAAAGCACTTTGCTTTCAAAGTGCTTTTTTTGCTAGAACTAAATAAAAAATGAATTGGTTAATTTTATGTTTAAGTGTTGAGCCTTGCCTATTCATATTCAATCAAGTCTTATTGTGGTACAGGCTTTGAAGCGATAATTTGATATATTGGTACAGTCATAGTCACCGTCCCATCTTCATTGACAAACTTTTGTAGAAATCCACCAATTTTACTCTCTTGCAATTCACCTTCAAAAATGTAATATGTTGCACGTAACCAGGCAATGAAATGAGACAAATTCTCGAATTTATAGCTACTTGATTTGCATTGAGCGGAAACCAGACAAAACCCTGCCTGTTTTAACATTACTTCGACCTCTGAATTTCTCACAATATACTCCGGGGCCCGTTGCTCCTCGAAACCATCGCCAAGAAGGGCTTCGATCGCAGTTTCGATAATTTCGAGTTTTTCGTCGTCGCTCTGAATAGCGATTCTTCCTCCAGGCTTGAGAACTCTGAACGCTGTTTCAATGAAAACTTCTTTATCTTTTGGATGCAACCACTGGAAGACGAAATTACTGAAGTGTATGTCATAATACGCTTCGTTATGACGAGGGAATTGGCTGGAACTTTGGCCAAGTATAAACCTGAGATTTCCTCGCTGATTTTTATTCTTGGCAATATCTACTCTATCCAATAAAGGATCCACTCCAACGATCTCGCTATTAGCACCAAGCATGTCTGCAATACATGCGGTTAGTTCACCAGTTCCACAGCCCATATCTAACACCTTCAGAGAATCGCCACGTTTTGTATTTAAACTTGAAAAAAAGTCCTTACCCAATCTTACTTGAAATTCGTTAAGTTGAGCGTATTTCTGTGCCATAGGCCGTTTGCTGAGGCCCATTATTGTTCACATATGAAAAGCATGCCGTGGAACTGAACAAAATACACAAAGCTTACCTTTTTAAAACACCCTGAGTACGAATCCGAAAAGTTCCCGCTCTTCCGACCTGCAGTTTTTTCACAAAATACATTTTAAATGTCACTCCTTCGAGATTTTTAAAATGAACAAGCGCCATTTTGAATTTGTGATCGTGTAATTTTCCATCGTTCAGAATACTAAATTTTCCGTTCCAGTCTCTCGAATTCGCGGTAAATTGTCATCGTAGGCTATGTGTGACTTAATTTTATTATAATTCAATATGGCTTCTTACAGTGAGGATAGTGATGCCATATGCATAATTCATTTTAACGGGAAAGGCGGAGAAATAAAAAAGTTAACAAATGAAACTTTGGCGAAAATAATTGATGTAAGAAAACAGTGGTTAGGTCTGTCTTCATCATACCAGTCATTTACAGCAGTCGCTAAAAAATCGTTAGAGTTGTTTGACGACTCAGTCGCAGACGAATTGAGCGTAAGCAACGTTGTAGAAACGCATGGCTACCATCTGGGGTGTTATCGCATGTTCACCGATATCAGTAAACTTGATCGAGCCAAAAGAACCATTGCTAATACTGATAGAAAACGTTCGGCTGAGGAAGCAATTGGGCAAGCACAAGAGAATCTGGACATAAGGTCAGAAAAGATCGCCCGAACAACACGCCAAACTCTTCAAAGTCAAAGAGTGATCACTCCTCCTCATCGATGTTCAAACGTCTTACCTGAAATTTGTTTAATCTGCAAACGGCCGGGCCATTATTTATCACAGACCAGGTATTTAGTTTCAGTTTATTGAATTTAGCAGATACATTCTTTATAAAATATCAATTTAAAAAAATTGAAGTAATAACTAGTAATAGTATATAACTAATTCTAGGTTACAAAGAAACGTGTCAAACAAGAACTATCGACCGCACAAACCGTTACTGCAGGAGTCCTTGAACAAGCAGCCTTGCTACGTAATGATGAAAGTGTCCTGATTCACATTAGAGGAAGAGATTGTGTCGCGATAGAGGCAAGATATCACAAACGTTGCTATCTCACATACACAAAATTCTTGACCCGAAAACCGAAAATTTCTACTCCAACACTGTACGACAAGGCATTTGACGTATTTTGCGCCGAAGTAATCGAGAAACGCCTAATTCAAAAGAAGGAAGTGCTACTACTTGGTTACTTGTTAAGAAAATTTATAAGCTGCGTTCAAGCTATCGAAAATGTTGATGTCCCATATCAAGCGCCAAGACTGAAGAAAAGAATCCAAGATCGTTACCCACAGCTCGTGTTCCATGTCTCAAAGAGCGTGACTAAAGGGACTCTAGTTTACGTCGATACTATCACAGCGGGCGATGTTGCAGCTATCCATGAAGATATGTCAACGTTGGAAAGTGAATCTGAAGATGAAGGATGAAGATGATTACGAAAATGAGGGTGACGATAACAGCATAAGTACGAATGGAGAATCTATGACTAGAAATATGTATATTACGGCATTGGAAGTGAGAAAGTTTAACGGAAAGTAAAGGCGTTAATTCAGAGTGGCCGCCTGATTCGCATGATGTAACTTTACAGTTTGCACGACAATCAGTTCCAGTAAAGCTTTACAATTTTTTGGCATGGTGTCTCGGATTCTCTTCCGATCCCATAGTGGAAAAAATAGTAGAAATTAGCTCAAGTGAAGATGTGAAGGTGGTATCAATAGCTCAAGATCTCATTTACGCAGAATCGAAAGGGAGGACACAAACCCATAAATCGCTGGCCCTCGGGATGGCCGTTCGCCAGATGACTGGATCCGTAAGATTACTCCGAATTCTTCATGGTTTAGGACATACAGCATCAACGGACACCGTCTACAAACATGATACTGCGTTGGCAATAATAAGCAGCGACGAAGCGGGAAAAGAGATCTCTATTCCACGAAGCATCAATCCAGATGTATTTACTACGATTATTTGGGACAACAATGACTTTAATGAAGAAACGGTTTCTGGAAAAGGTACAACGCACGTAGCAAATGGCATCATCGTGCAGAATGAAAACGATGGACAGACTCTGGGAACGAAACTAGTAGTGAGTAAGAAGAACCGCAGTATTGTAGCTCCGGAAACCACAATTCTCCCATACACAAGCAAAGAGAAAGGAAATATTTCCCTGCGAGATGAAAGTTCCGAGATTCCACTGGAAGAAAAATGTTATCGCCACGTGCAAGAGATGGGAAGAAATGCGGATTTTTTATACCTTTTGTCTAAAATGAATGCTTCGGAGAGTGGAAAGCTAATGCCAGGATGGACCGGCTTTAATACTCAAGTACACAAAGTGAATCGAAGTGTTTCCCGCATTGCATATTTACCAGTCATTGATGCACCGGTTACGGACATGGCAACGGTCAACACATTGCTCCGACATAGCGTTTCGATTTGCCAACGCCTTCAAATCCCCCAAATTGTCTTGGTTTTTGACGAAGCCATATATGCCAAAGCTCAGATGATTAGATGGAAAGATGATGAGTTGAAGGAACGTCTGGTTATAAGACTCGGTGATTTTCATACGGTTATGTCATTTTGCAGCGGTATTTCTAAAATTTTCAAGGACGCAGGGTTACAGGTAACTATCTTTTCAATCTTTATGAGCAAACCTTGTGATTGACAGCAGTGGCGTAGCCAAATCGATAATTGGGGGGTGAGGGGCTATTCATATATTCGTGTTTGCATTATTAATTTCTTTTGAAATCGATTGTTTTTATGGAGCCCCCCAATTATCGAGCTGGCTACGCCACTAAGACAATGTCTGATAGATAAACATTTCGAATCAAGGGAAAAGTCATAAGTGCTGATCATCTCAATTCGCTTTTACAAGCCAATCCCAACACGGGCTCTTCTGTGCTGTACATTTAATTGCGAATATATTTTTAGGATATCATGATCGAATCGGAAGTTGTAGCACCAGGATCATTAAAAGGTGTCTTGACTGGAAAGCATTATAACCGTTCCATACGAGCACACAAGATCATCTTTGAGGCAATGGAAAGATTGCGGCTACAAGCATTTGAGAAATCTTTGACAACCACCGAGAAAGTTCTGCTCGAGTCAATCAATCGTATCATGGAAGATGATCCAGAAAGAGATAACTTTTTGGACATCAGCAGCGGCAACAACGTTACGGAAGCGAAAATGATGTACGACCTATTTGTTCAGAAACGTTGCGAGGAGAATCCATTGTTTTCATTCTGGTCGCATTACATCGAAATGGTGCAATTATTACTACTTTACATTCGGGCAACAAGAACCACCGACTGGTCTCTACACCTAAGTTCGCTAAAGTCGATGATTCCATGGTTCTTCGCGACAGATCGCGTGAATTATTCCAGATATGCTTCGTGTTATTGGTTGGAAATGATGTGTCTCGAAATCACTCATCCATGTACGAAAAACAGTTAACCTCATATTCATATTTTTAAAATGCGAGAACAAGTCAATTTTTAAAGATTAAACTAAGGGAAACGTGACTAAACATAGCAAGTAATTTCCCCTGTATTCAAACACGTGTCCATTTTGCTTTCTTAATGGTGCATAGAATATCAAATTTTTCCTCATCTTATACTAATGTCTACACTTTAATTATACTTTTTGTTTAGACGTCGCTGTTAACATTTCTCAAAATTGGACTGTTCAGAGACAAGAAAACTACTCATTTTCCAGCATTGCTTGCGACCAGACGATTGAGCAAACTTTAAACAGGTTAATTACGCATTAAGTAAATTAACTAGAAGGCTTTAAGTTCAGAAGTTTATTCAATTGACTATAACATTTCTATACGAATAGCATTTTGTTTTTTTCAGAGATTCTAAAATGAAAGGTGGATTGATCGGGAAAACGTTGAACAGAGGAGCAGTACATCGTTGGTTGATGGGGCAAGCAGAAAGAAGTGCTATAACAAGACAGTGTGAAGCCATGGCAAACATCTCTGAAGTTGCAAGGTAAAATCTTGCAAGGTTGAGTTTTTGAAGTTATTTCCACCCGAAGTTCATATGAAACTAATCTTTTCCCTGCGTTATCGTATAGGAGTAGAAAGGATTTAGACCGGACAAGGATGGCAGCGGACGATAAGGCGGTGATGGAGGTCATTAAAACGGTGGAGTCAATGATCAATCCATTCGACAATGATAAAGATGAATTGGTACATTTGGCCAGTGGATCAGTTGCCACCGCTGCGATTGCCGAAGACATGAAAAGAATGCTTGAAAAGGGGAAATTCGCCGCGGACGATTTCATGAAGTCTAAAATTGTTGGAGAAATGCCCAATATTTACGAATCTATAAAGAAAACAAAGTTGGAAACATTTTCTTCTCTAGGTAGTTTTATGTTATTTATATTGTAATTTCTACGGTTATTTTTACAACTCGTAATGCAACACGTGTATATTGTACTCGTCAATTGTCATTCTGTTTCCTCCGCCAAAAGGCAGCCCTCGTTCTGATGCCGGTTACGTCATATATTTGCAGGCAAGAAAGTGGTGAGTAAGAATAAGAAAGGAGAACTTGTAGCAATGAAGAATTCGAAAATCCTTTTCACGAAAATGCTGTTAATTGCCAAAAGTCGTAATCTACAAATGGATAATGTTCTGAAATATTCTCTTCGTCCATTCCCCGCTTCTTTGGCAACACATGAAGGAGATATTGTTAAAACATCGAAGGCAAAGCTGTTGCACGCAGTTGAAGAGCAAGTAGAAGAAGCTACAGTCAGCGAGTTACCCATCACGGAGAAGGTCTGCGTTTTAGATGCAATGGCAATGTTGCAAACATTAACTCCAATACCAGAAACATTCGGTGAATTGGCAACGCAACTACTTGTGAAGGTTGTCAACTCTGCCGTATATTCGAACTGCAAACGCGTAGATTTTGTTTGTGATCGATATCCGCGTGAAAGCATTAAGAACTTAGAGAGGAACAGGCGAGCAGCTGGCGGAGTGCAAGTGGTTAGAATATACAGTGAGCAGCAGAAAGTTCCTCGACAGTGGAAAAATTTATGTCATGTGGTGAAAACAAAGAAGAATTAATGAAATTCCTTTTCACGTGCTGGAAGAACGCCAAACCGCGACTGCTAAGAGGCATTCAAGTGGTCCTTTCACACGAAGAAAAATGCCATAGCTTTATTGAATCAAACGAACAGCTGACGTGCACTGAGGTGTTAGAGCTCTCCTGTGATCACGAAGAAGCCGATACACGAATGATAACCCATGCAAGACATGCCTCTCAACATTTCCCTAACATTCTGATCAAAAGTCCTGATACGGATGTTTTCGTTATTGCACTTAATGCCTCTTTGGACATCGATGCTGATATTTTCATGGAAACGGGTGTAGGACATGGACGACGAATAATCTCCCTCAGCAATGTGAGGCAATCTCTTGGAGACCAATGGTGTAGGTCTTTGTTAGGTCTTCATGCGTTTACGGGTTTGTACTAAATGTTATAATATTTAGAATGGCCTTAAATCTGTACTTTTTCTTTTAAACCTCACTTACTATACAACGTTACGTTCACATTTGCGCACGCAGTGAACGAAGAGGTAACATTGGAATATGTACTGAGCCCCTGCTTTCCGCTTTAGCTTGGTAACTACTATTTTGGATCATGACTTTATTAATATGCTAGCTTATAGCTTAGCTTACATTTTTGCTTTTACAGGTTGTGATACCACAAGTTCCTTTTACGGCAAAGGCAAGATAAGTGCATTGAAGATTGCCAAAATGAAAGTGGCGCACGCCACTACATTCGAAAATCTTGGGAGGGAAATAGTACTATCTGATGCACTTAAACAGGACTTATCAAGGTATGTATGCCATCTCTATGGTTATGACGAATGCTCGGACGTCAATACTGCGCGTTACCAATTATTTAAAAGAGGGAAATACGAGGAAGAATTGTTGCCGCCTAACCAAGATTCTCTCGACCAGCACGCTCTCAGAGCCAATTTCCAATGTTACATCTGGCGACATGCTACGCAACCAATGCTTCATCTTCCTACATTTTACAACCACGGCTGGAAAGTAGATGGTGAAGGAAACGTAGAAATTGCTTGGATGACCATTCCTGCAGCCCCAGACTCAATCTTAGAATTTGTAAACTGCAAGTGTACGAAGGGTTGTGAAAATAGAAGATGTTCCTGTTTGAAGGCATCGCTGAAGTGTACGGATGTATGCCAATGCCACGATTGCAAAAACCGCTATAGCGAAAGCCATGACGAAAGCGAGTGCTATGAAGATTCCGACACTTTTAGCTCCTGTGACGATCACAGCTCGGATGAGGACAGTGAGGATGAACAGTAAAGAGTCAACAGTCTTTAAAACAGTCAACTTCTAAAGATATTCATAAAGTGACACAATCAGAATGGGATACTGCTGTTGCAATCCATTTTATGTGCTAAATCGCAAATAGACGACATCTCCACCATTCGACAACGCGACGCGACGATCAACTTTAAATTGATCCTAGTTTGAATTTTCCAGAAGCGCCACAATATTTTGAGTTATCTGGTCTACATATCTTTCAAAATTTGCTCTCATTGGCTATTCAATTAACTTTCAAGAACTAAAAAATCGCGTCGCGTTGTGGAATCGCGTCCGGTGTGTATGGATTGGAACTATTTATATTCGAGCAAAGTCCATAGCCTACGATGACAATTTACCGCGAATTCGAGAGACTGGAACGGAAAATTTAGTATTCTGAACGATGGAAAATTACACGATCACAAATTCAAAATGGCGCTTGTTCATTTTAAAAATCTCTAAGGAGTGACATTTAAAATGTATTTTGTGAAAAAACTGCAGGTCGGAAGAGCGGGAACTTTTCAGATTCGGACTCAGGGTGTTTTTAAAAAGTAAGCTATGTGCATTTTGTTCAGTTCCACGGCATGCTTTTCATAAATCGATTTCTAGGCACATTTTGCTGTCTCAGCAAACCGCCTACCAGTACCGCCGACTGGCTTGAGTCTAGAGTCATCGCCATGTAGAACTTTCCGTATGCCTTCCAATGATATGTTATTGTAAAAAATGGTGCAAATTTGCATTAAAAAAAAAACCTTCAATACATATTTGATCAAATTTTTTACTGCTTTCCACCATTTCGAGAAATTAGCGGTTTTAAGATCTTCAACCTGACGACTATGGAAATAGTAGTGTTTCGCTTTTTTAATTGCCTTTCGAACATTGTTTCTAAGCTGATGGTACAATCAATTTACGAATCCCCACAGCTAGTGCGCGTTGTCTATCCAATATAAGTCTGTAGTAATGCATGATCTATCTCTGCAATGAACATTAACAACGTTTTTTTGGAAAAATAGTGTCGATCTAATCCTAACATAAGCAGGTCATAGAGAAGATTGCACTTACCTTAACAGAGAGGATAGACCTAGAAGGAAAGATTGCCGGGTAGGCTTTTTTACGATTTGTTTCAAAGAGGAATGGCGGCATAAAGTTTTATAATCAAAATGATTAAAGGCACTCCTGCGTTGGGATGGACTAGTAATAGTTTATCGACGGTAAAACTTAAATAATCTTGTAGAGTATTCATTCAGCTAGGCTCTCTCGCTGCGGCAGCAAATATATGGCACATATCTCGGAAAAAAGTGAAGTTTAACGTTGAGGCCATTTAAATTTCAAGTTCGTTTAGCGCTTCTCGCCCAAACATTGTCTGGTGTAAAAATTACCCAAATTTCACGTTTCAAAATTTTCTGAAAATATAGCTAGTGCATGTAGATCATATTCATTATTGATATAGCTAGTGCATGTAGATCATATAGTGTTGAATATGCGGACAGCGCATCGTTTTTTATTGAGTATTGTAGTTCAAAGCGTAACGGCGTTTGCTTTTAATCTGATCTATAACTATAAGATTATTTATTACATTCGAATTTATTAAATTTCTAGACACATTTAATACGAGTCCTAATACTCAGAACAATTTTGGTGTAACAACATTATAAAAGTCCTTTGAAAGCTAGAACTAAATAAAAAATGAATTGGTAAATGTTATGTTTAAGTGCTGAGCATTGCCCATTGTTATTCAATTGAGTCTTGTGGCACAGGCTTTGAAGCGATAATTTGATACGCTGGTACAGTCATAGTCACCGTTCCATCTTCATTGACAAACTTTTGTAGAAATCCACCAATTTTACTCTCTTGCAATTCACCTTCAAAAATGTAATATGTTGCACGTAACCAGACAATGAAATGAGACAAATTCTTGAATCTGTAACTACTTGATTTGCATTGAGCGGAAACCAGACAAAACCCTGCCTGTTTTAACATTACTTCGACCTCTGAATTTCTCACAATATACTCCGGGGCCCGTTGCTCCTGGAAACCATCGCCAAGAAGGGCTTCGATCGCAGTTTCGATAATTTCGAGTTTTTCGTCGTCGCACTGAATAGCTATTCTTCCTCCAGGCTTGAGAACTCTGAACGCTGTTTCGATGAAAATTTCTTGATCCTTTGGATGCAACCACTGGAAGACGAAATTACTGAAGTGTATGTCATAATACGCTTCGTTATGATGAGGAAATTGGCTGGAGCTTTGGCCATGTATAAACCTGAGATTTTCTCTGCGGTTTTTATTCACGGCAATATTTATTCTCTCTAATAAAGGATCCACTCCAACGATCTCGCTATTAGCACCAAGCATGTCTGCAATACATGCGGTTAGTTCACCCGTTCCACAGCTCATGTCTAACACCTTCATACAATCGCCATGTTTTTTATTTAAACTTGAAAAAAAGTCCTTACCCCATTCTATTTGATAATCGTTAAGTTGAGCGTATTCCTGTGCCAGTACCAACGACTGGCTTGAGTCTAAAGTCATCGCCATGTAAATAATATATGTCAACTGTACATGTAAACGTCTCTTTGTTGTAGTAGAAATGCTGGAGATCTTTGTTGGAGATTTGAATAAAAATCAATCTTCAGTTTCCGGCCCTCTCTAAGTATAGTATTTGGACAATAGTGTAGATCTTACCACTTGTAGCATTCAGAAGAATACAAGCATTGTGATCTCAATACAGAGCATTTATAACTAACTATTCACTTAGGGGCTGATGACATGGAGTGTTTTCAGCCCGGCTAACCTAGTTTTGTTATCATGCAATCGTAAATAAACTTAAACCCGGACAGAAAAATTCGCCTCGACAATGCTTTTTCGTCTGTTTATTTCATTTAGAGGTCAGGTTATTGTTATTCGGGACTTTAAGGCGCTTGAAGAATCGAAATAGGTCTACACCACCAGCTTTTACAAACTCAGCCCGGGCTGAAATTTTAGCCGGCCAGGTTTTAATTAATTCTGACGTTTCAAAAAGCCAAGAGTGACATATTGGGCATAATGTATGTCTTGGAGGGTCACACATTTTCAGAGGATAAAACGGCAATTCAGTATAATTATCCTATGAACCCTGCTATCACATTATCTCCCCCTAAAAATCTCAATAAATGCATATAGATAGAGACTGAATACAAAATATAAGCTACAAATGGAGTTTACTTAAAAAATCTCGAAGAATATTCCTTTGGTCTTCGTCTATTACTTTTTTCGAAAAACTTAAGGTTCAGCTTTCAAAGCGATGATTTGATACATAGCGGGCTCGTTAATCGTCACCGTTCCATCTTGATTGCCAAACCTTCGCAAGAATCCGTCAACTTTACTTTCTTGCAATTCACTTTCGAAAATATAATATGTTGCACGAATCCAGGCAAGAAAATGAGCCATATTTTCAAATTTGTAATTTGCCGATTTGTAGTGGCTGGAAACTACGACGAAACCAGCCTGTTTCAACATAACTTCGACTTCTGATTTTTTCACATAATATTCTGGGACAGGCAGCTTTTCGATTCGTTCAACGAGAAAGTCCTCAAGCGCAGTTGATAGAATTTCGGGTTTTTCCTCGAGGCTCCTAATTGCGATTCTTCCTCCAGGCTTGAGAACTCTGAACGCTGTATCGATGAAAATTTCTTTATCCTTTGGATGCAACCACTGGAAGACTAAATTACTGAAGTGTATGTCATAATACGCTTTGTTATGATGAGGAAATTGGCTGGAGCTTTGGCCATGTATAAACCTGAGATTTCCTCGCTGATTTTTATTCATGGCAATATTTATTCTATCCAATAAAGGATCCACTCCAACAATCTCGCTATTAGCACCAAGCATGTCTGCAATACATGCGGTTAGTTCACCCGTTCCACAGCCCATGTCTAACACCTTCAGAGAATCGCCACGTTTTGTATTTAAACTTGAAAAAAAGTCCTCACCCAATCTTATTTGAAACTCGTTAAGTTGAGCGTATTCCTGCGCCAGTACCGCCGACTGGCTTGAGTCTAAAGTCATCGCCATGTAAGCATGTAAACATATAAACGTCTCTTTGTTGTAGTAGAAATGCCTTGGAGATTTGAATAAAAAAAGTCGTCAATCTTCAGTTTCCAGCCCTCTCTAAGTAGCACTTGACAAGAGTGTAGATCTTATTGAGTGTAGCATTGAGTGTAGCATCTTTACATATTAACTTCAGTTATAATTCTAATGTCCAGTTAACTTTTATGGTGTCGCTACTTTATTCAATAATCAGTATTTCACTATTATACAAGCAGAAATTTTAACTGCGGCATCCCAACGTACGTAAATATAAACGTAATCTCACACCAATCGCGCTTACCAAGTATATTGATCAACAACTGCGAAATTGTTCCCTGGTGCGTTGCTATATCATGTTTCGTCTGCCACAACATCAATTCAAGCTCACAATTCGTATTCATTGGAGATCTTCGTGTTCCTAGCGATGCATGACCAACGTTAGGGAGCTTTGGCAGTGATTACGAGTACGAGATTCGTCATTCTAGCGCGTTGTTTGCTTACGCTATCAATCAAAACTCGTAGTCGCGTCGAGCTTTTGAGTACAAGTTTTTTGATAAATTTCGTACTCAAAAGCTCGACGACTACGAGTTTTGGCTGATGGCGTAAGCAAACAACGCGCGAGAATTAATCTCGTACTCGTAGTCACTGCTAAAGCTCCCTATTAGAAAGCTTTAGATTTGACTACGGCTCCCGCTACCGCTACGAGATTCGTCACTGTGGCGCGAAACAAACGTTGTATGCATACGCCATCTCGTGTTGGCACGATAAACCACGGCAAACACAATAGAAAATGCATGTTTATTCTGTCAAATATTTCGGAAATTTCACGCCTACTATTTCGAAAAATACACATAATCAAAGGCCAGGGTCATGAAAAATAGTTCTCTCAAATTACTTTCTGGAAAAAACGAGAAAATGTCAACTTTCATTACTTTTTAAATCACGTATAGTGAGGACTACGAAGTTTTCTTAAAATGCCGTAGTCAGATGAGCGACGGCTACGAGTCTATCGCGTCAGTACGAAGTATCTAGCGGGAGCCGTAGTCAAATCTAAAGCTCTCTATTATTGTAACGCGTGCGATGGTTGCTATGTTCGCAAGAGAATATCCGGTTTTACTGTAATTAATGAATGTAATGTAATCGCTCCCTGTATTATACCATATATGGAAGTATTTTAAATTATCTTGAAATGCAGACTCCTTTCTTGGAAGAGCGATGATGCAAAGCATTTGAGTTACTATCAGACAAACAAGACACACAAACGAAGTATGGAGAGTTTTACAATGATGTATGTTCTTTTAATTTTGATGCGAATTTCGGACATATATTGTCATGCTTTAATGAAGCGTAGTTATTCGAGTGGTGAAGGAGTTGCTCCACAAACCTGCGGTACTGATAACGTAAACTTCTACTGCCCCTACGCCGATCCCAACAACAGGTGTAAACCACGACGCCAACGCTGCAATCGAAACAACATCTGCATTAACCCAAGTACAAGGAAAGAAGAAGACTGTTCAGAAACGTCTAATCCTGGAGAATATTATGTACTCCTCGGCCATGCGAAGCTGTCTGATTCTTCCAGCAAAAAACGAAGTATCAAAACGAATCTGGAACATCCATTTGTTACATTTCGAGGATTTACCTATGAGTTTGGGGTATCGTATGGGGTCCAAGTGCTCGATGTTGCTGATCCAAAATATAAATATAAAAGTGGCAAGAATTTGAACAGTAAAGGAATCGAAAAGTTCGGCCGCAGCTACTGCAATTGGGAAGATGCAAACAAAGTCGTTGACGGGTGGAGAGATGAAAAATACCAGCTAGTGTTAAATAACTGTCAGCATTTTGCAGAAGCTATGACTGATGTACTGATTTACGGCCCTTGCAATCGACCCAGCGTTTCACGAGGTAAACGTCAGGATAACGAGATCGAGCTCACCAAGTATATTGATCAACAGCTGCGAAATTGTTCCCTGGTGTGTTGCTATGATGTTTCGTCTGCTACAACATCAATTCAAGCTCACAATTCGTATTTATTGGCGATTTTCGTTTTCCTCGCGATGACCAACATTGGTATCAGCGTGTAAATTGCAAATACTATCGATCAGGTTATTATAAACTTTGTAGCAATTTTGAAACAACAAAACGCGAACGTATCCCTTTGAACATATATAATTTTTATTGTCAACTTACTTCTTGTATGCTTCCATTTTAGTAATAAACATAACACAATATTAATATAATGCAAATGCCTGCATTCACGGCCTGTATATACCAGGCGTCTAAGGGCGTTTCCCTGTTTGAAAATACAGCGGTGAAACTGCATTTTTCGTGCTAGGCAGATGTAAATATTGATATACTTGAATACAGATTTCTTAAAACACTCAAAAGTGTGAGTAATCTGTCTGTACTGAAACACAACAGGACCGGTCTGGCCGTTTTTACCGTATAAAGGAAAGCGCCCTAAGACAGGTCGTAAACAGTTTAATCTGTTTTGATAGATTAAAGATTCTGATTCCACAAAAAAATTGTCTGATGTAATTGGATTGTATTTTAAATTAAATTGTGATTTTAATAAAGTTCAAAATGTAATCGTTTGTCTCAACTGTAATCTAGAACTATAAGAATTCTTAATATAATCGATTTCCTTAAATTTCTAGGCACGTTTTACGAATTCTAATATGCGTATCCTAATATGCAGAAAAATTTTGGTGTAGCAACATTATAAAGGTGCTTCAAAAACTAGAACCAACTAAACGGTGAACTGGTAGATTTTATATTTGTGTCGTGAACCTTGTTTATTGTTATTTAATCCTGGCTTGTGGTGGTTCAGGCTTTGAAGCGATAATTTGATAGAGAGAGGGTGCAGTAAAAGTCAACGTTCAAGTCTTCATTGGCAAACTTTTGTAGAAATCCATCAACTTTACTTTCTTGCAATTCACCCTCAGATATGTAATATGTTTCACGGAGCCAGGCAATGAAATGCAGCAAATGCTTATATTTGTAACTATTCGGTTCAGTGCATTCAATGGAAACGATAACAAAACCAGCCTGTTTCAAAATACTCCGGATCGGCTGCTCTTCAAAACCATCGCCGAGAAGGCCTTCGACCGCTGTAGTCAAAATTTCCATTTTATTCACGGCAATATTTATTTTATCCAATAAAGGATCCACTCCAATAAACTCGCTATTAGCGTTCCACAGACCACAGCCCATGTGAAACACCTTCAGACAATCGCAAATCTTAAATTGAGCGTATTCCTTCGCGAGTACAAATTGCTTCGGGTCTAAAGTCAGGGCCATCAGCGCAGGCATCTTTGCCTTCGGTTGATTTTTTAGAGACGCATTTATCTCAAGATAAGAACCGATTTGATAAGTAACAAAGCACTTTATTCTCCAGTGACCATCGACAATAATTATCGTTGACTGTCGGTCAATAGCGACCTTAAGCATGTAGGACGCGAACGCGACGACGACGGCTATCAATACAATGGGTCATTGAAAAGAAATAAATAATTAAAGATCCATGATGGGTTTTAGAAGTCGTCTTCGTTCTGTTTACAACGGGAAAACGTGGTTTTTTACGTCTTGCCTAGAACGGGTGCATTTCAGGACCCAGCGAGCCCTACCTCGAATTAGGCTCTATAGAATTGTCCTTAAACATAAACACAATGTTCTTAACGCCTTATAGTCCCTAAATCTGTACAATTAATAATATACAACAACAACTTTGCTATAGCATTTATTTAAAGGAGAATTTCAGCCGCGTCGCCGTCGTGTACATGCTTAAGGTCCCTACTAATGAGAATCAGGCCTCATTTGAACAGACGGAGGCGGACGAATTCAAAGGTCCTGTAGGTCGCATTGCATGCTGGTGCAAGTGAAAGAATGCATTACCAGAAATTTGCGACATGATAATTTGCATTTGTACTAATTTGCATTTAACTTTCAGCATATAATGGCCCTCAACTTTTACTATTAAATACATATAGTAAATATACAAAACCTAAAAATGCCGTTGCCCTAGACCTTGCCTACTGTTTGCCGACCTCTGGGTCAATAGAACAGCCGTTTCCCAACGTTTTAATGATCGAATTACTTACCTTAGGTATTTCTACGTTCGGCCAACTGATTGTGAACAAATGTGTATATAGCCTTCGTATTGTTCAAGTTCCTGATAAGACTGATAATATTTTTTAAAGTGATTGCAGTGAAAATCCGAGCCGTACAAAAAAGTTTATACGCAAATACGAAAGACAATATCTTTAACAATTTTTTTTGGTATATTACACGTCAATTCATCAACTACCTGAATCGAGATATTCGAATCAAAGCATGTGAGCGATTTTACAAGTTCGTTGACAGAACACGGATAAAACTTTGAGCAACATATTTTTAAATTTGGCAGATCGCAGAAATGCCCAAGCTAAAAAATTTGGTCACCAAAACGTTTCTAAACCGCTGCTCTACCGATCTTTAGGTCGGCAAACAGTAGGCAAGGTCTAAGGCAACGGCATTTTTAAGTTTTGTATATTTACTATATGTATTTTATAGTAAAAGTTGAAGGCCATTGTGCTGAAAGTTAAATGCAAATTAGTATACATGCAAATTATCATGTCGGAAATTTCTGGTAATGGTATTTGAGCTACCACAATACAATGCACATAGCAAAAACGAGATTTTCCCGGCCTAATGTATAGATTAGGTTACTGTGGGTATAAAGGCTACCTGAAAGCATGTCAGGGTTCGGATTGCCAATCTCGTTCCCACAGGAATTGGATCTCTACAAGGCTGTTTAGGGTAAGAATGAAGTTTAACCTTGAGCTGAGATGCAAAAAGAGTTCAACATTCCTCCGGTAGGATTTTAAGTTTTGCGTGAAAACCTTCCTCGAAATGACGTTACGTCACCGAGTCAAGTGGCAACCAGCATAATGAAATATTTGGTTTTTCGGTACATGCATGTGATCAATTAGATCGTTCAACTTTGAACCTACCTCACAAACCTCATTCAAAGCAAACCTTCCTCCGGGTGGTGACCGCGTACCCGAGCAGCTTTTTTGCAACTCCGACCTTGAGGCCACTCGAATTCGAAATCCGTTTAGCGGTTCTCGCCACAACAATGTCCGGTGTAAAAATTGCCCGGCCAAATTTCGCATATTTTGAAAATTTCTGATAATATACTCTAGATCATGTTTATCCACAAGCGTAACGAATGTAAATACGGTAAATATAGTGTTGAATATGCAGACAGCGCATCGTAGTTGTTTGAGTATTGTAGTTCAAAGCGTAACCGCGTTTGCTTTTAATCTACAACTATAACATTATTTATTAGAATCGAATTCATTAAATTTCTAAACACATTTAATACGAACCCTAGCATTCAAAACAATTTTGGCGTAACAACATTATAAAAGCACTTCGAAATGAATTGGTAAGTTTTATGTTTAAGTGCTGAGCCTTGCCTATTGTTATTCAATCGAGGCTTGTGGTTGAGGCTTTGAAGCGATAATTTGATACAGTGGTACAGTCATAGTCACCGTCCCATCTTCATTGACAAACTTTTGTAGAAATCCATCAATCTTACTCTCTTGCAGTTCACCTTCAAAAACGTAATATGTTGCACGTAACCAGGCAATGAAATGGGACAAATTCTCAAATTTGTAACTACTTGATTTGCATTGAGCGGAAACCAGACAAAACCCTGCCTGTTTTAACATTAACTTGACCTCTGAATTTCCCACAATATACTCCGGGGCCCGTTGCTCCTTGAAACCATCGCCAAGAAGGGCTTCGATCGCAGTTTCGATAATTTCGAGTTTTTCGTCGTCGCTCTGAATAGCGATTCTTCCTCCAGGCTTGAGAACTCTGAACGCTGTTTCGATAAAAACTTCTTTATCCTTTGGATGCAACCACTGGAAGACGAAATTACTGAAGTGTATGTCATAATACGCTTCGTTATGATGAGGGAATTGGCTGGAGCTTTGGCCATGTATAAACCTGAGATTTCCTCGCGGATTTTTATTCATGGCAATATTTATTCTATCCAATAAAGGATCCACTCCAACGATCTCGCTATTAGCACCAAGCATGTCTGCAATACATGCGGTTAGTTCACCCGTTCCACAGCCCATGTCTAACACCTTCAGACAATCGCCACGTTTTGTATTTAAACTTGAAAAAAGGTCCTTCCCGAATCTTATTTGAAAGTCGTTAAGTTGAGCGTATTTCTGCGCCAGTACCGCCGACTGGCTTGAGTCTAAAGTCATCGCCATGTAAAACTCTCCGTTTGCCTTCGAATGATATGTTGTTGTAAAAAATTGTGCAAATTTGCATTAAAAAAATCCTTCCAATATATAATTATTTCATTGTTCTTAATCAAGCAGTGAAACGACTTGTCTGAAGTCGGTAACCTGCCAAATTTTTTACTGCTTTCCACCATTTCCAGAAATTAGCGGTTTTAAGATTTTCAACCTGATTATGGAAATAGTAGAGTTTCGCTTTTTTAATTTCCTTTCGAACATCGTTTCTAAGCTGATTGTACAATTTACGAATCCCGACATCCAGTGCGCGTTGTCTATCCAATATAAGTCTGTAGTAATGCATGATCTATCTCTGCAATGAACATTAACAATGTTTTTTTGGAAAAATAGTGTCGATCTAATCCTAACAAGAGCAGGTCTTAGAGAAGATCGCACTTATCTTGACAGATGGGTTAGACCTAGCAGGAAAGATTGCCGGGTAGGCTTTTCTACGATTTCTTTCAAACATAGGGATCCCGATAAATATTTTTGAAATTATAAGTAAATGGTCCAGTTACGTTGCGAGTTCAGTGACCTCAGTGATCGCGAAGCATAAGATATAGTTATTGAGGATGGAAACTCTTGATACGAATTTCACTCGCAAAATTTCATATCAAAAAACGAAAATCCCTCAAATAAATTATCACAAATACATTTTAGATACTCGAACAACATTATTCCATTAAAAATATTTTAAAAAACAAATGAAAATGCACAAAAATTTACAAAACTTTTGCTTATTTGCCGAAAATTATCGTGGGACCATGCGGGACATGAAATGCGGTTTGAGGAACGAATCTGATTAGTCTGACGTCCGGTTCTTATTCACGGCAATATTTATTCTATCCAATAAAGGATCCACTCGAACAATCTCGTTATTAGCACCAAACATGTCTGCAATACATGCGGTTAGTTCACCCGTTCCACAGCCCATGTCTAACACCTTCAGACAATCGCCACGTTTTGTATTTAAACGTGAAAAAAAGTCCTTACCCCAACTTATTTGATAATCGTTAAGTTGAGCGTATTCCTGCGCCAGTACCGCCAACTGGCTTGAGTCTAAAGTCATCGCCATGTAAACATGTAAACATGTAAACATGTAAACATGTAAACATGTAAACATGTGAACATGTGAACATGTGAACATGTGAACATGTGAACATGTGAACATGTGAACATGTGAACATGTGAACATGTGAACATGTGAACATGTGAACATGTGAACATGTGAAC